ATATTCTATGAAGTGCTTTGATACATCTCTATGACATGATAACATGCTAAATCAAATGCAAGGATTACGGTCCGACTCCCCAGCTAGTCCACATCACATCTGTACTGGTGGCAGTGTAAAACAACCTGTTCACCTACCCCACCAATCAATAATAATGCTAATCATGATAAATAACAATAATAATAATCCTTGCATTTGATGTAATGCCTTATCACGTTGTTGCGACGTCTCAAAGCGCTTCACAGCACATGTCGTAAAGTGAATTGATTGTATTTTGTGGGTGAAATGCAGCCGCCAGTTGCTCACAGCAGTGTCCCACAAACAATCATGGAGTGAGTGGCCAATTTTTATTTTTGTGGGAACTGTTGTCCAGGACACCGGAAGAAACTCCCTTCTCTTTTCAAATGGTGGCATGAGATCTTAACATCTACCTGAACAGGCAGACAGGACCTTGATTTAACATCTCATCTGAAGGTCGGAAGGTGATGAGTGTGAGGAAGTTGGCCAAAGGCACAGATAACGAGATTGGATTTGGAAGTGGGGAGGGATGGCACAAGGGGAAGGGAGAAAGTTCCAGAGTGGTGGCATGGTGGATCCCTAGCTGTCCAGCACCTTGGGACGTTCTTCTGAAGTTTACAGTGGTGAAGCTTGGCAACGAACTAGAGGGAGAGAAGGGAGGTGATCGTACGTCGTGACCTAGCTCAGCCAGGGATGGTGGGTTGAAGACAAGAACGAGCGGTTTCACGAGAATGGGGGAGGGGGGTGCGACTGAGAATGGGTTCATACTGTTGGACCCCAATCCTACATATACTTGTTGGTGGGGAAGTGGTAGGAGGTGAGGGGAGCACAAATTCCATTCCTCTCCATTGATGTCCATTATATTTTAATTGAAGATAAAAAGAGAGACCTTGACAAATGTCTGGTTGCAGTGACATGACTTAATGAGACAGCAGCTGATGGTGAGACCATTTCTGCTCACAAATGTAAACCTCTCGAGGCAGGGAAGGGTTTAAAGGAAGTAATCTCATCCGGAATGAGTTTGTGTTCCAAAGGGGTGGTTGTGTGCTGCGGGACATGTAAAGGGTTCAGATACAATATAAATAAGAGATTTATAGCCAACCAAGCCATGAGTGCGCTTGAGCCATGAACATACAACCTCAAGCATTGTTCATGGTTTTCAATGGTGTGTAGTTTTCTTTCAGTTAACCATTTCAGAGCTTTCCAGTTGATTTCCTTATCAGTTTCCTGTTTTAACACTGCATGGCTATCCTCTTGTTCAGTTGGATTTCATTGTTTGTCTAGAGGGAATGCTGGACTCGGTATGATTAAAGTAAGATTTGTCAGATGTCTTAATAATTAGAATTAATCTCACCCACAAACACACACACATACCACATTCACAACACACACAAACATACCACCACTGTACGGACACACCACATCTACATATCCCCCAGACACTGTGTAAAACAATTTATTATTGTTTTTTTTTCTTGAGGGCTTATTATCAGGCTTGTGGAGTAAGGAAACTTGCACAAGGTTTCGCCCTGCCGGGAATCGAACCCAGGTCTCTCGCTTGTGAGGCACGTGCTCGAACCACTGAGCTACAGGACTCTCTATATTGGATTTGAATCCCTCCAGCGGCTTTGCCGCATCCTATCTCTCGGACCTTCTGCAACCCTACTGATCCGCAGCCCCTCCCTCCTCCCTAGCGAACAACCTGCTTCATGTCCTCCACCCTCTACATCTGCCACCAACAGTCAGTCTTTCAGCCATTCTCCTCTGCTCTCTGGAACTCCATCTCACAATCCCTCTAATTCCCCCACACCCAGCTCTGTCCAGATGCTGCCTGACCTACTGATTGTTCCCAGCAACTTCTGTTTTTGTTTCTGTCCACTTTGACTCTGCTTTTTGTTTTTTATATTCCCCCCCTCCCCGTGGATCAGGTCCCAGCCAACTGTGCAAAGTGCTTTGAGATACTGTCCTCAACAGTATAAATGTAAATTGTATTGTATCAGTATCCTCAGCAGTTTAGTTCGGAGTCTATTGAGCATAATTGCTGGGTTTCCCTGAGTGGGACACCTGCCGTACAAAACCAAATCCGGATGGGGGGGAGCCAACGTGGGCTAAGGTCAGTTAAAACTGCTGCAACGGCTGTGCCCAGACAGGCGACAGTTCAGATCGTGACACTCTTGGTTGTCCTATCCCATCACAAAAGCTGGCTGGAGCAGCCAAGCATGCAGTCGAGTGCCTTTGGAGTTTTCTGCTGTCTTAGACGTCATCCTCAAATCAGACAGGTTTATGCACCCTGAGGCAAAATGTCATCATGTTCCTTCCTGCAGATGGATGACTGATAGAAGGTGCAATTTCTGGTGATGTGACTGGCGTAGGTGACATTGCTTATAGGCCGGTTGTGCAACTGGGTGAAGGGAGAGAAAGGGGAGGGGTGGGGGCACTCGCAGGATATCTGCACATTTGCAGCTTGCAAACATTTTGTACTCTTACTTCCATAATAATTATTAATTAATGAATAAGAGAGTAGTAATCCCTCCCAAAAAAAACATTTTTGATATGTCTCAAAGCGCTTCACAGAATATACTGTAAAGCAATTTGCCAATCGACTAACAGCCGGGTTCCTACTTACTGCTAGGTAAACAGAAGCGTGTGGAGTAAGGAAACTTGCGTAAGGTTTCGCTCTGCTCAGGAATCAAACCCGGTTCCTCTCGTTTGCGAGGCGAGTGCTTTGACCTCTACACTACAGAACTCCACAAGATATATAGTGAGCGTTGCTCGGAGTATATCGCGATTGTATGTTTATACCATCAGCACAAGAGGGAGGTGAAGCCGGTTGTCCCCCCCGCACCAGTGCAGTGATCTGCTCTAATTCTACCTCCTCTGGCATTAGTTCCATGTGATGTGAAAGTGCAGCATCAGGAGCCGGTGGCGTTAGGCACCGATGTTTTAGCTGAGACCAAACTGGAGATGGTTTCTGGGTCGACTTGTCCTTGTTTCCATTTCCAGTTGTGTCTGACAGGACATCTCTGAAGTGCCTGTGCTGACTTTGCTATTCAATGCTTTCAGTCACTTTCTCTCTCCAACAATCACAGTCTGAGCTTGAGGTCATTGCTGGTGACATTGTTAGTGTTTGTCTCTGGTGGGAGCAGTTACAGTGCAGACCTGGAGTCTGTCCTAACATTGGCCAAAGCCACAGGTTAATGGGCTGAGTTGACATTAGTTCTAGGTTATAGGCTGGATCCAGTTCTAAAACATCTGTAATATAAGGTGATTAGGTGATGGTCATCATGTCCTCAATTGACAGTAGGAGAGTGAGTGAGTCAAATGGGTTGGAGCTGCTACTATTCTCCAGTTGGCTGTGCGCAATTTGGCTGCCGCATTCGCCTACAAGTAATACAGTCACTACATTACAGTACAGAGAATGGAGTTTCTCTCTTGCGGTGTCCTGGCCAACAGACTCCCCAAATAAAATTGGTCACTCACTTCATGGTTCTTGTGGGACACTGCTGTGTGCAAACTGGCAGCTGTGTTTCACCCACAAAACACACAGACACACAGACTTTACAGTGTATCTGTGAAGCACTCTGAGACGTCTTAATGGCATGATATGGTTCTATGTAGTCTGGTAGCAAAGGGGTTGGCGCGCTCTCCTCACAAGTGAGAGGACCCGGGTTTGATTCCCAGATGGGACAAAACCTTAGGCAAGTTTCCTTACTCCACTCATCTATCAGTAAGGTGCTGTCTGTTTACCTATCAGTAAGTAGGAACCTGGTTGTTGGTCGATTGGCAGATCACTTTCCAGGGGTAATAATCCTTCAAAATGTAGTCACTCAATCAACGACTGTTTGAGATGCTGCTGTACGTAATTGGCTGCCGCATTTCACCCACTGAATATATAGTCAATCCACTTTACAATATATTCTGTGAAGCGCTTTGAGACGTCTCAACGACATGTATCAAATGCAAGGATTATTGTTAATATTTACAGTGCGTCCTCCTGACATGAAAGGTGATGTAACAAATGGAAGAATTATTGTTTTTTTTAATTACTGTCGGCTGTGCAAAAGCGTTAATGAACAGCTGCAAATCCCTGTGTGCACGGGCTTGGGACTTGTATAAGAACATTGCAAGCCTCCTTAACAAGCCTTCCAGCATTGTTAATAGCTCCATCAATCTGTCTGCAACTTCCTTTTGCTGAGCAAGATTATACATTCTCAGCATAGACAAGGTGAGGAAGCCAACCTTTTCTCAAATGAAAATTGTGTTGCTCCGTGGTAAGACCTCACCATACATAAAAGAATTTAATTTAAATGAATTGGCTACTCATCTCATCGTTGTGTTTGGAACATCGCTGGAGCAGATTAACCCACAACAGTATTTCCTTCCTTTCTAATTAATCTCATCCTGTCAATCGCTTTTCTGATGTTTGTTTATTTGAAAGGCGCTGTGTAACGGGTGGTGATGAATTTCCACTCTGCTTCTCTATCTGTGCAATTGGTTTCAGCTGCTTTACAATACAGTGTATCATTACAATACAATTTACATTTATATAGCGGCTTTCACATCCAGAGAATTATCATAATAATAATCCTTGCATTTGATATAGCGCCTTATAACATCGTTGAGACTTTTCAAAGTGCTTCACAGAATATACACTATTGACTATATTTTGTGGACGAAACGCGGCAGCTTTGTTTACCTAGCAGTAAGTAGAAACCCATTAGTCGATCGCAGATCGCTTTCCATGGGTAATAATCTCTTCAGAAAAATGATAATAATTTGGTCAATCAATCCATGGCTGTTTGTAGGACACTGATGTGCTGCGCATTTGGCTGTCGCGTTTCTCCCACAAAATATTCATTCAAGTCACTTTACAATATATTCTGTGAATATGACGTCTTAATTGTATGACAAGGCGCTATATCAAATACACGTTATTATTAATGATAATAATTAACAGCAATGATTTGTGCCTTCTTTTGCAGAGCATTCCCAAACCCATCGCGTTGGAGCCGTGTTTTGGTAATAAAGCAGCAGTGCTGTCCATATTTGTCCGCTTGCCGAGAGGACTGGGAGGCATCCCACCACCGGGCCAGTCAGGTTTGTTCTTACTGAAATTTGTCCGTTTACAAATGTAATTTGTTGTTGTGTTATACGCTAAGGTGGCAGCTAGGCTCAGTCACCGGTGCTCTTGCCTCTGAGTTGGAAGGTTTGTGGACTCACACGGGTCATTGAGCTCACAGTCTAGGCCTATGGTCTAGGTGCCTACATGAAAGGTGCTGCATAAATAAGCTGTTATTAGTGACGGTGGTGGTGCTCCAGCCCAGTGATGCATTGTTTGAGATGCTGTCAACAACAATGCTACCCTGAAGAGCTGCATTTAAATAGTACCCCTCACACAGGGTAGAGTCCCGGAGCGCTTGACAGTGGCAGAGCACAATGCCGAGCCAGGGAGAGGGGGAGGTGACTATAAGCACAATCCAAAAGGATGGTCTTCAGGCGTGAAGATGGGGTAGAAGGGGGCGAGGTGCAGGTATTGAGGGAGGAAGAGAGTTCCAGAGTTTCAGGGCGTAGTGGTTGAAAGCGCGGCCACTGTCGTTCAGGGGTCCCTCTGAACCAAGGAGGAGAGGGGTTGAGGGTCTGGGTGGGCCAGCTGGGTTTTGGTGGGTGGGCCGGTGTGGGGAGAGGGCCTGGTTTCACTGGGGAGTGGGAGAGACAATGTTCCTAATGACTTACCTGTGAGTGTAACTGGTCCATCTCTATTGACTCCAGTTGGGCTGTTGTGCTGACCTGTTGGTTTCCTGCAGGTCTCTCTGTGGCCAGCGCGCTGGTTGACATCTCGCAGCAGAAGTCCATGGATCACAAAGAAAAATCGGGAGTGGGACGGAGTCGGAAGCACGTCCCCCCAGCACAGCCCGGCACCTGCATTTGACCTCCGCAGGCCTCCATTGCTGCCAACCTGCGGGATTCAGGCACTCTGCTCACCGCCCGGTCCACTTCCCGGCCCTGGGAGAGGGGAGGGAGGGTGGGGGAGACGACGGGAAGAGATGTGATAAACCCCCGACCTCATGTCTGCATGTGTCCACTAGCTCAAGAGATGCCGTCGCCTCGTCAGGAGCCAGGGGACTCTCGGGTGTCGCCTGACGTCAGCCACGTCTCTTTCCCCCGCACCCCTCCCCTCCAACCCCTTCCCTTTCCAACACCCCCCACCGCTTCCCAACACCACCCCTTCCTCCCTTGAATCACAGTGGGAGATTGCTCGCTCCTTTGTGGTCACACACTGTGATCTGAAGCAATATGTGCTTTTTATAACAAACAAAAATCTTTCATTTTCTTCCCTGTTTTTGCTCCCAGGTGCTCGTGGGAGGGAGGGTGAAGCGGGGAGTTTAATATGAAGCTGGTGATTGATAGTACACTGTTTAACTGCAGTGAATTGCAACTTTCTTGGGGGTTGGGGGGGGTTGGGGGCAAAGAGTGAGAGAGGGGTGGAGTGAGATCTGTTGATCTGTTTCATCTTAGTTCAAGGATGCTTACAATGAGCATCTACACTTAACATACCTCATTTTATTCTGACGGGGTTTGGGGGGGACGGGTGGAATGATGGGTGATATGATTAAAATTTACTAAGAAACAGTGAAACATACTAATCCTTCGCCACAGTAGTGTGAGAACAGCAAGCTGTAACCAATATAATAATTTGCTAAGTAATGATTTCATTTCCCTTCACCGCCCCCGCCTTCCCCTCTTCGATCACCCCCTCCCTCTCCACTCACGTCCCATTTCCCAATGAGCAGCTATGGGGGTTCGGTTTATTTAGGGAGAATGGCAAAACACGATTAATTCAGAGAAAAAATGATGGGGGGACTTCAGGCAAAGACCATGTTAAATTTCGAGAACTTTTAGTTACATTAATCTTGAAAGATTTTGCGTACTAGGAATGTAAATTAGCACAAAATATCTTGGCCACACTATACAAGCTTAGGTCTCCTATCTGAAGTGACTATAACGCTCCAACTTTCACTTTTATTATAGGCTGAAAAAGATTCGATGAGATCTTTCATGGGTGGGTGGTTGGGTTTTGTCTGTGTGTGTGTGTTAGTGTGCGCACGTTTGGGACAGGTAGGAAAAAAATCCAAGAGCTGAAACATTATTCATATCAAAGCTGCTATTTTGCTAAGAAAACCAACAGACTTGTTCTTCCCAGTGTTGCTCTTCATTGAATTCCCGATTGTAAAATCAGAGGTTTTAATTCCACCAGAATTTATCTTTCCTCGTTGGACTCGAAGCACTGCAAACGTAGCCCACACTCCCAAGTCACACTAAGCTCCCTCTTCCCCTCCACTGGTTAGACTCCAGGAGTTACCTAAAGCACACTCTGGGGTCCCCAAGCCTTGGCTCTTGGCAACCTGCGCCTAATACTTGCCGGAATTATGTAAGCAAGATGTTTCCCTCTTGGGAAAGAATGTGCAGACCATTCTAACAATCTATCTTTCAGGGTTTCCATGTGTCTGGGATGCATGGAAATCTCGGTTTGGATACTCTTAAGCACGGTGATGAGTTTTCACATGTGTCAGACACCCGGTTTAACCAAGCTGCACCTTGCACTGTCTAGAACTAACCAATTTCACATGATTGATTTCCCTCCGATGGAGTTTAGAAAACTCAGCCTTTCTCGTCCCGTTTGGTGACGTGTAGAAATGCAGACTCTTTAGCTCCTGTGAGAGTGCTGCACCTTGGTCTAATTGTGTTAAAAGGGTGTGAGGAGAATTGTACTTACCCCGTCCAAAACGCACCATCTATTCCTGCAACTGACACTACAGAGGCCTGGGTCACTTTACTTGAATGTCACAAGTGGCTGAAGGCATCGAGGCTCAGTACCAGAGGATTGAGAAAGGGATTCCTCTCCCAAAGGTGGTGTTTCTTGTATTTTCGCCTTTAAAGCCACACCACACGCTGTGAGCATTCATTGATTGTATGTATGTGGTATTTGCATCACTGCAGTTCTGTGGAATTGTCACACTGTTGAGCAAAATGTGTGTGCTCGGTTTGTCCTCGGCTTTTAAGCTTGGTTTTTAAAGCCACAAATTGGGGGTTGGGGTGTGGTCGGAGGGGGAGGGGGGAGTGGAAACCCACATCTTAGTCTGGTGGTGAAAATACAGGAAACACCACCTTTGGGAGAGGAATCGGTTTCTCAATCCTCTGCTGCTGCGTCTCAAAGCCTTCTACCCACTTATGACATTCAAGTAAATAAATGAATCTTAAAAAAATACAAAAAACAATTGTGAATAAAGTGAAACTGCAAATTCCAAGCCTTGAAGTTAAACACTACAGCTGAAGTACTGTAAAATCGCAATTAATCTTTTTTAAAACTCTTGTTTGGTTTGATATGTGTGTGTGTGTGAGTCTGTGTGTCTGTGTGTTTGAGAACCTTTACCTTGCACTTTGCCAATCCTCGGTCCCTAACTCAGTGTAGGAAAACAGTATAATCTGGCGTGTTACAAGGCAGTGCTGTATCGAAGGGAGTGAATTAAGCTTCCTGTTGCCCATTGTCCCACACCTACTGTTTTGTAACCTGTATCGGCAGTGATTTCTAATTGTCTGTTCTCATCAGCCAGCCATCCTTTTGGACTGTAACGGATAAGTTAGCCTCAAACTTTGTGATTGTCAAGCCATGTAATTGATGGGGGGAAAGCTACAAATATTTGACTTATTTGTTACATAAAGGATAATTTTTGCTCCTATGTCTCATCTTGCAGTTTCATCTCCTTGTTCTACTGTAAACCATGAACTCCTAGTTCCCTCCCCCCCACCCCCACCTGACGGTCCCGCCACATGAAGTCAAAGCCCAAATGGATAGGGTGGTTTTAGCTGAACAAGCAGTGAGAAAGCTTGCCAGAGAGTTCGCTCAACAGTTAGCCTCCAGCAGTACCCCAACACTTACTATGGGCTCCCCAAGCCTTGGCTCTTGCCAACTTGTGAGAGAGAGAGTTCCATTCCCAACATGGGAAATTTCCATGCGTCGGTGTGATATATATGTGGACCTTTGTCTGGTTTGGTTACCCTTTCAGCATGGTGAATGGGTTTGCACATTTGGGTGTCAGACAGACACCTGCCTGAGCAAAATGTTTCTTTACAAATCTTCATCTCATTATTGATTAATTATTGAGCTGAGCAGCTCAGTGCTTGTCACTGTAATGCAGAACAGATTGTCCTTCGACCTGAGGCTTGATTCCCCACCTTGCCTTAGCCTGTAACCATCCTTTTGTCTTGGTGTTCAGATTGTTCCCTGAATTATACAAATGATTTCACCCACAAAATACACAGTCAATTCCACTTTACAGTATATCCTGTGAAGCGCTTTTGAGACATCTCAATGGCATGACAGGGCGCTATATCAGATAAAGGATTATTATTATTAAATGTAGAAAATTCTTCAATTCGGCCTTGATTTGGAAGAGGTTTCCATTTTTTAAATATTTTTTAAAAAGAGAGAAATGAAGATTTGATTTGAGAATTTTTGACAATTTGAAACTATTTTTAGGTGAAAAGAAAATGGTATCACAGCCAAGGGAGGGGTCTCTGGACAGCAGAGACGAGGATCTGGGGAGAGGGGTCAGTCTCACTCCAAAACCCAGCACGAGTTTCTACTAAAGCACCCGTACCATGCAGTTCTAGGATTGCAGAGTCCTCGCATGACTAAGTGCAAAGGCATGATCCTCGCTCTCACACACACACACTTGCTCACCCTCACCCACACTCATTCACCCACACACACTTGCTCACTTGGTCACCGCCACCCTCACACACTCATACTCGCACATTCCGAGTCATGCCACAAAACTATAGTTTTGTGCGATCAATGAAGTTTTAATTAAAGCAAAGGAACATCATTCTGGAGGCACATCTGAGCTTGGATATTGAACTGGGATTTTTTTTCATTTCATTTGACAGCGAGCGTAGGGCAGGGACTCCAGCAAATAGCTGTATGTGTGTGTGTGAGTGAGTGGGTGTGAGTGAGTGAATGGGTGTATGTGTGAGTGAGTGAGTGAGTGAGTGAGTGTATGCGTGAGTGAGTGTATGCGTGAGTGTGTGAGTGAGTGTGTGAGTGGAAGAATGTGAGTGAGTGGGAGTATGTGTGAGTGAGTGGGTGGGTGTGTGAGTGAATGGGTGTATGTGAATGAGTGAGTGTATGTGTGTGTGTGTATGAGCGAATGAGTGATTGTATGTGAGTGAGTATGTATGTGTGTGTACTTTGTGGTTTAAACATTTAAGAAGTGAGTGCTATGTCCTGGTGCTCTGTTCCGTGTGGTGGATCGTGTGAGCCTGTCGATTGCTGGCCCGGGCGACGTAACGTACATAGCAGTAATTTGCCAGCCCTTTCATTCCAGAGACCTTTATTTTTATTATTATTATTATTCCAGAGACCTGATTTTCTTTCATCCACCCTCACGCCCCTTTGCTTTCATAACTCTGCAGATTTTACCCACTATTCCCTCCATACATGGTCTCAACCTGGCTCAGTCAGTAGCACTCTCATCTCTTGAGTCGGAAGGTTGTGGGTTCAAGCGCCCCCTCACCCCGGGTACTTTGAGAGAACCACGACAGTTTGGGGCAGTCGATGACGTGTTGTAAAAAATGCAAGGGTTATTAGTAGTATTGCTCCCTCCTTCCCTTCCCCCTCCCTCCCCCTGCACCACCCAATCTCGCTCACTCAGCCAACAGTAAAATGACCTAAAAGGCACCGTCAAAAGCCAAATGACTCCCTCGTCTCATCACGATCCTGAACCGTTCCTGCTTCCAGAATGTCCTTCCTGTACTTTTTATTTCTATGTGCATAAAATGAGTAGTTTGTTGATATGTATAATTTAGCATTGATTGCACTGGAATGTAAATACTGAGTAATTATTGTAAACTATTACACCGCGCCGGGAAGGGGAGAAGAGAGGGCTAATCGGGACAAAAACCTTTAGGATTGCACTTTTTTCATATAATTTTTGTATTGTAAAATAACAGCTAATTTAATGGTTGAAATTTGAACAGAAATGGAAATAATGGCAGACTTCAGACATTTAAAAATACTGTACCACGTGTGTAAATAAAGGATAATGAATTTCACTCGGATGCAACTCGTTCTTGTAAATAAATATGAGGGGAAAAACGTGTCGGGGGAGAGGGTAGGGTTGGGGGTTTTGAGCTCACAGTCTGGACTGATGCTCCAGTGCGGGGCTTTGAGAAGGGTGCTATATTGTCGGAGCTATATTGCTGGAGCTTTGTCAAATTTATTTCCGGCTCCTTCACCTTACAAGAACCTTCACCAACTGGTTCTTGTAAATAAATATGAGGGGAAAAATGTGTCGGGGGAGAGGGTAAGGTTGGGGGTTTTGAGCTCACAGTCTGGACTGATGCTCCAGTGCGGGGCTTTGAGAAGGGTGCTATATTGTCGCAGATACCGTACTTTTGGATGAGATGTTAAATCAAGGTCTCCCTCCGTGTTCTGTTCAGGTTAAATATTTCCATTCCCCACCGAGAAAACCGGTCATTCACTTCACGGCTGCTTGTGGGTTGTCAATTGGCTGTCGAGTTCACTCACAAAAAATACTCACCTTACAATATGTCCTGTGAAGTGGTTTGAGACGTCCTCCTGACATGCAAGGCGCTTTATAAATGTATATGGCATTGTGTTTGACCTGTCAATCTCAGGAGTCTCTCCTATTCACTCCCTCTTTCCCTCACCTCATTCAGGATCTCACGACCGACCTACCTCTGACCATGCTTCACCTCAGTTGCTTCCCATCCTAACTCAGGTGCCAAGTCAGGACTGCTAAGTCCCTTGGGATGTCCTGTTGGTGTGAAAGTCGCTGTATATAACTCAAACCCTAAAAAGTAAAACCCCCAAAAATTTTGTTCAAAACATCTCGATATTTTGCGTAAGGTGAAGGAGCCGGAAATAAATTTGACAAAGCTCCAGCACCTGGAGGGTCCATTAAGGGCTTCTTCAAGGTCTGTCTCAAGATCTTCCTGCCAACCAACTACTCACTGCCTCCCCTCGGCTGGCTCTGGCCTCCTGCTTGACCTTCCTACCCTCCGCTTCACCATTGGCAGCTGCGCTTTCAGCCACTGCGCCCCGAAGCTTTAGAAACTTCTCCCAAACCCTTAGCCTTGCCCCCTCTTTTAGATGACGACTGACGACCTTTCTCTTCGACCGAGCTTACGATCACCTCCCCCCATCTTGGCGTCAGGCTTGCCCACTGTTAAGCGCTCTGAGATGCTGCCCCGCATGAAGGGCGCTATATAAACGCAAGTAGTAGTTATTATATAGATTGTACTGTGTTTAAGGCTGTGTCTCCACTGCATTCTGCAAGTGGTTTCCTATT